AAATAAAGTTATAGTAGAATATTGTGTATTAAAATGACTTAGGGACTGTAATGATAACGTCTCCCCTTTTACGTCGACATTCCATTTAATTTTTCCTCATTCAATATTTTTCAGAGTTCCTTAAAAATTAGTAACCCAAAAAAATAGTATTCATCTCACTGGAGGGACATAAATGGTGGAGTTTCTTGGGATTCTGTATTAGGACTGTCGCTTTTCAACCTGCTCATAAATGGTTTGGAATTAGTAATGAGCAGTGAAGTGGTCAAATTTGAGGATGACACTAAACGTTTTTGAGTGGTTAAAGCCAAATGGAATTGTCAGAAGCTCTAAAACAATCTTTCCAAACTGGGAGGATGATCATCAAAATGGCAAATTCAGTTCAGAGTAAGCATGGGTAAAATAATGAATGTTGCTGCAAAAAATCACAGCTTCAGATATAAGCTGATGGAATCGGAACTAGCCATGATTGACCAAGAAAGAGGTCTTCGGGGTGTGGTGGACAGCTCAATGAAATTGTTGTTGCTGTTGTGAAAAGCAAGCTTCAAATTATGTATAATTAGGAAAGGAATTGAAAACAAAACTCCCAATATGACCCAATATCATACTATTATACAAATCTGTGATGTGACTGAATTAAAACTACCTAGCACAGAACTGGTTGCCACACCTAAAAAATGGATATTGTAGAGTTGAAAAAGTGCAGAAAGCGGGAGCTAAAATGAACAAGGAGTTGAAGCAACTTGAAGAAAGATCATAACAACTGAGAATGTTAACATAGAAAAAAGACAAGTAAGGGGAGACATGATAGAGAGGTACAGACTTATGTATGCTTTGGAAAAAGAGACATTTTCCCTTCTCTCATAAAACTAGAACCTGGGGTCATCAAATGAAACTGATTGGTGGGCAAGTCAGAGCAAACAAAAGGAAACTCTTTTTACACAGTGCATAGTTAACCTATAGAATTCACTTCCATAACATGTCATGATAGTTATTAATTTGGGCTGCTTTGAAAGAGGGTTAGGGTTGGACAAATAGCTACCATTGTTAATAATAATTAACAATAATTAAATAATTGTTAATATTTATTTATTTTATTCTTTGGCCAGGGTGACTTAAATTATTCTGTTTTATATTGTGTTTATTTATTTATGATTGTGAGCCGCCCCAAGGCTTTGGCGAATGGGCAGCATAGAAGTTCTCTAAATAAATACATACATACATACATACATACATACCAGTCCTGATGGTAATGTGTTAGCTCCAGTATCAGAAACAGTATGCTTGTGCATACCAATTGCAAGGAAAGTAGGGGAGTACTGTTGCAGGTACCCTGCTTGTAGGATCCTGTGGGGAGCTGGTTTGAGCAGAATTGTAAGTAATGTAAGAGCAGCTCTACTGGATCAGCCCACTGGACCTGAGACTGATTTTGCAAAAATGGTAGTGGTGGTTCTGGTTCTGGCCACAAGAGCAGTCCAGATACTGACAGCAGCATCCAATATTTCCACTATGGTCCAGGTGCTGTATTGCACTAGTGAAGCCCATTGCACACGCAACAGAAAGGTAGCAGTTCTAAAGGCAACTCACGAAACAACCTGGCCCAGAAATGTTTCTGAGTGTTTCAGGTTGCTCTTAGAACTGCTAGCTCTTTATTACTCTAGCAGTGGGTCTTGTTTGCACATGGACAGGCTTGTGTACTGTCCATAGTTATTTTAATTGTGGACAACTTCTTTTAGTCTGGGAATTTTCAAAATATATTTTAGCTTGGCTCAGCTAGTAATAATTCCTTAATTATTTTGTTTAATTTTAGAACATTTTATATAGCTACAGTGTCAAAATATTGAGAACTTGTATTCTGTAATCTTGGCCTTCATGGAAACTTACGGATCTGTTACTCAGTTTCTAAGACAAGGTGTTTTAGATATAGAAACGAGATGGAACTTGTTTGTTGATACATCATTCTCTTTGTCAAGAATCCAGCGCTGAACCTAACCAAGTTGAAAGTGTGTAGCTGATGTAGGGAACAAAGTATATTTCCTTGAATTTTGACTTGGGCACCTTGTCAAACTCAAAATTTTTTGGCTGCCATAATCATTGTCGGCCTATCCCAAAATCATAATGGTCTAAATCATAAAGTAGGCCACCAATTAGATTTGCTTTACATTAACCTGAATGATCCAGTAGTAAGAGATGTTTTAGTATTAACCTTTTCATGAACAAATAAAAGGGAGAGCCAGTGTGGTATAGTTGTTAAAATGGGACTGGGACTCAGGTGATCTGGGTTCTAGTTGGCTCAGCCATGGACCCAACTGGGTGACGTTGGGCCAGTCACAGACTCTTAGCCTCACAGGATTGTTGTGGGGATAGGATTGAGAGCAACAGCAGGAGTATTATGTAAGCCACTTATGTAAGAAAGTTGGGATAAAAATCAATCAATAATCTCTCAGTTAAACTGCAGATTTTGTTTCATATCTTCTGTGGAAATTAATAGAAAAGGCAGTTAAGATGGTCTATTGTATTATCTTATGTAAATTATATTGTACTTCTGAAAACTAGTCTAGCGATGCAAATAGCATTAGTTGGCACACCAGTTTCTGAGGAAATCAGTACATCAACTAATATTATTGATGATGCACTAGTACTAGCAGTGTAATTCATGTTAGCTGTTACAGCTTGAATACTTCTCAAAACCTACTACCTGAACAATAACAACACCACCACCATCATCCAACTATATGGTACATAATATATGCGATACTTTTGACTGCAAAATTAATATGTATTAGAAAATCAGATAACCTTGTAAAATCTCTCTTTAAAACTCTGGTAGCTGTTTGTGAAGCTTGGGCCATTACACCAGTTACTTAGTCTGCTGCCAGACTCATTTTTCTCTACTAATTCAAGTGTTGACTTTGTAGCCAAGCTGTCCACTAAAGTAAGTTGAACAATGTGTATTGAGTATTTAGCTATAATGAATGTATGCTTGTTTTATATGGTCAATTATTCGGCCATAAGAGAGTGAGTCTTTATTATGATTTTGGGCTATTATAAAGCTGAGTCCTAAACAACCTTGTGAAGTGAAATAAGCCTACAAAGGACTAGTTTTAATGAGCTTGTATGTATGGCAGCTTATTTATTTATTAGAATGATATCCCACTTTTTTCTTAAGAACTCAGAAGCTTACATCATTCTCCTCTTCCTGGTCTCAATTTTATCCCCCCAACAACACCCCAGTGAGGTAGGTTGGTCTGAGAGTTTGACTTGCACAAAGTCACCCAGTTGGCTCCATGGCTGAGCAGTAACTAGAACCCAGGTTGCCTGAGTCCCAGACCCATGATCTTAACCACTACACCACACTGACTCTTATCACCACACTCTTACTGGCTTATATAGCTTTGGCAGGGGTTAATATTTATACTGAGTCAGAATAGCATAGATCAGTGTTAATTATTACATAGAATTTCAGTTCAATCTATGAAGCTATATAAACAGTAGTTAGAGCATTTCCCCCTGTAGCTTCTTGCTTTCTTAAAGCTGCTGCAGAACTGCTATGTTAATGAAAGATAAGTGATAACGTACCCAAGTTATGAAACTGATTATTGTGAAGGGCAAAAACTTCATCATAGTTTACTTCTTCATGGTTTGAATTTAAATTAACTTATACTGGTAAATTGTTTACTTGGATTTGCATACTGTACATGGCTAGATTATGTATATGTCAGATCAGAGTACAGTTCTGAATATTGTTAAAATCATTTTGGCAGGGGTTAATCTTGTCACTCCAAATAGGCAATTTAACTTTGTGCTAGTTTCCCCACAGGTCAATAATAGTTCTTTTGAACTGTTTATGAAAAAGAAGTATTATATTTAAACTAACACATGATGTGATTCTTGTTCATAAATGTGAATGGCTACTTTTTTCATTTGCAAATTTCAATATCACAATATTTACCATTTTTTGAAATCTTTTCACAATTGTTACAAGCCTAAATCCCAGAGCAGTAGTACACGTTATGAAGTATTTGGAATTATGGGCTATACCACATGAGTTGGCAGGCAGGGTTCTAATGAAGCTTATGACAGGTTTTTAATGCACATCCATGCAGCAAGTTCCTTGCATTTAGTAATTTAGCACTTTAGGGGGAGTGTTTCCTTAAATTTTCGCTGCTGGTGTATGGGAGGCTTTTTTAGCATTAGGAGCAATACAGATGCACCTCTACAATCTCAAATGGCAGGAATTCACCTTTTCACATTATGCTGATGAAGTGAAATTGCTCCTTCCTACAAATATGAAATAACACAGGAAGCCCTGGGCAACACTGAAGGAACCCAGGCGTGCTGACTGCATCTAGTTTCTCACAAGGGCTGGACTGATATGTGAAGTTCTGTGTTGCCTCTGCATTTTACCTAGAATAGTAGGTGCCATACTACAAGCATGATCTAGAATACAGAACCTCAGCAAACTGCCTCAATTTGCCTACTATATTTGGTTCCAACAGTTAACCTTTTTTAAAATGAAGTAACTATTCAAATTGTGTTAGCAGATTCATAAACCCTAATGAATCTGCTTTGTTTTAGAATAGATAAGTGCTTCAAAATATTGCCTGGTTTGATTACCCAATTCATTACGTTGTTTAAAATTGAAACCTGTCATATAAGAGCTAGAAGCTTGCATTTTGTGTGCTTAACCAGAAAGTGCTTTAGGTCCTAAGCTAAGGCATTCTGAAATAAATTTTTTTCTCCTGAGACTGATTAGGAGTAATAGATAAAATAAAGAATGGTGTGCACAATGAGGTATGGTTTACATAGAGGAAATTGTAATGGGAAGTAGCTACATTACTAGCAGATGGATTTGATTCCTTTATCTTGGTGATATGGGAAATTCTAGAGTAGTTAATACTTCCATCCAGATTTTAACCTGAAAAATAAAAGGAAAAAAGTTGTTTTTAATTTGCTGAATTACAGGTTTTTCTTCACATTTTCTTTCATCCTTAAAAATATAGGCAATTTTTATGATTCCAACAAATCCCCCTCCTACATTCCGGAAGCCAGAGCTTTGGTCAGATGAATTTACTGATTTTGTGAAAAAATGTCTAGTGAAGAATCCAGAGCAGAGAGCTACAGCAACCCAACTGCTGCAGGTTAGTATACTACCTATTCCTTTTGAAAAAACTGTGGGCCCTGGGGAAGCTTGAATTTACATCTTCATCAGATGTAGTGATGTAGGTGATTTAGAAGCCTGCCCAGATTCCACAGGGCCTGCTACAGGAAATGAAAAGATTCTGTGGTCCCATCCTTATAAAGATATTGCTTGTTAGAATAAGGAAAGAGAAATCTATATGGCAAGTGGTCAGGCCCTCTTGACCTAAGAAATCCTCTCCATTTGTCCGTAACTTAAATAACTTTGGTATATTAGCTACAATTGGTTTTAGACTTTGTAATACTTACATTGCTGTTATCTTCTTCACTGTTCCTGCTCCAAAGAAGAACCATTTGTTAAGTAGTTAGAAAATCTGGGTATGACTTATTTGACTCCTTTCCTGTACCTTTCTCTTTCTTCCTTATTGCCCTGTTTCTTGTCTCTTTATCCTCTTTTCTTCTCTTTTTTATTGTTCTTGGATTTTATTGGCTATTGCACAATAAACATTTACTTGCTTTTGGTGCTAAAGGTTTGTCTTTAAATTTCTCCACCCATAATCTTAGTGCTTGGTTCTTTTTTTCTTGCGTAATAGTTAGAAAGAAATGCAACCTCAACTGTGGCCCTTCTGCATTTTTGAGATATATTTCTGTAACCATCTCTCTTTTAAATTTAGATGGAGCCTGATATGTGCTTCAGCACTACTTTTCGCAGTATAGAGTAGAAAATCAGCGAGGAAGATTTTATAAAGTTATTCTCTGTAATAGTTAGGCAATGCAGGAAGATGGAAGGGCATAACCTTGCCGCTCTTCAAATTCTGGAAATTTACTATTTCCTCCTAAGTGAAATCACTTAGTTGCAAAAATGCAGTTTTAATTTTTATGTTATTTTATGATTTTTTAAAAAAATCTATATTGTATTTTGCTGCATTTAATATTGTTCACTGCTCAGGAAGCTTCAGCTATTGTGTGGTGTAGAAATTAAATAAATGATCACAGCTCATGATGTGATAACGGCTGCACACCATATAGCAATTGCAAAAGCACTAGATATGTGACTTGAGAGAAAAATGGAGCTTTCCAGGTTCTACATCTGCTTTGGGAAGAAGCTGGTATGGTAGCCACAAAAGTCGTCTTGAGGAAAGATACACAAATTATCTAATCTAAAAGATAAATAAAGTGTATGAAATGAGTAATGGTGCATTACCTGCTCTAAAATTTGATAAGAGTGGAAAGTTCCTAAGTTACAAAAAAGGGTTTACCATCTTCATAAGAAAAAAAAGCAGTAACATTGTTGACAACATCAAGGGCATAGGAACACTTTTGAGGATACACCATATTTCTTATTTAGAGAGTGGCGAAATCCTACCAAGGCCATTAGGAGATAGTTGGCATAAGAGTTGAGGGTATTTATTTGATTTGTATCCCACCTTTTCTTTTTTAAAAGAACTTAAATCAGCTTACATTAATTTCTGCTCTCAGTCTTATCCCCACAACAACAACAACCATGTGAGATAGGCTGGGCTGAGAGTTGGTGGCTGGCCCAGAGTCACCCAGTTGGCACCATGCCTGAGCAGGGACTAGAACCCAGATCCCCTGAGTCCCAGACTCTTAACTACTACACCACCCACAGTGGCTCTCTATTTACCAGTGTTCCCCCTTCTCTTGAAAAATTGCCATTTAAGAAGTAAGATTGTTTTATAGCTGAAATTTTAAAACAGTGCAAAAAATATTAAAACAACTGATAAGATTTTCTGGAATCTTATTTTCTAAGTAGGACCAAATCTGCATGAGTGACAGGATATGACTGCAAGTTCTTGAACAGGAATAAACTTCATTTAAATAGGTGGTGGTGGGCGGGTTGTTGTTGACGATCATGTCAGCTGCCCATCTTAAGGATTTTAATTTTGCTTTATTTACATGTCATCATTGCCAGTGGCTAAGTTATTCATGTCCTGTTAAAATACAGGTTTGCTCAAGCCATAGTGGCTGCTCTGCTTATGACCACTAATTTGCATTGTCAGCTTGTTAAGATGAATTAAAATGCTGTAACTGAATGCATTAAAAAGTTTGTTTTTCTATGTCAGGCTATCTTTGCTTTGTTTATTTACCACCTAATTCACATTTCCTTCTGACAATTATATCCTTAACTGTAAAACCATTGTGTTTTTTAGTAACATTCTTCTCATGGTTGCTATTTACCTAAACAAACAAAAAGGAAAATCCTATTTAGTTGCAAAGCAGTTAAACAGGTCATATGTTCTCTTATTCCAGATTTTAATTGCTGTCTAAAGGGAAATGCTCTTACTTGCTGGTCTGTGAAGTTGATTGACATGTTTTTTTAATGAGTTACTTGTATTTATACTATATGTACAGATTGTCTGTAGGCTCTATTTTGTATAACTGTATTGGTTTATTTTCTAGCATCTTTTTATTAAGAATGCCAAACCAGTCTCAATTCTCAGAGACCTGATTACTGAAGCCATGGAGATTAAGGCAAAAAGGCATGAAGAACAGCAGAGAGAACTAGAAGAAGAGGATGAAAACTCGGTGTGTGAGAATTTAATTGAATATTCTATATTTAATATATAATATGTTAATATGTTAATATATTTTAGGCAATTCCAGAATCTACATATTTATAATAATTCAGCTGTGATCAAAAGTGTTGCATGTTCTTGGTTTTTTCTAGGTTTCCTTCTTGACAAGGGTCATACGGAACCTCTGCCTCAAAAGCAGTTTTTCACAAGGGGGTAGTGTCTATGAGTGGGGGTGGGGGGGAGGGGGAGAGTGAGAGAGAGAGAACTGTATTTATGTGATGGCATCGTGTTCTTTTTTAAGTGTTACTGTGCCAAACCTCATAGTTCAGATTTAAACTCCAAGGGAGCTAAAGAATATTTTCTGGAGAAGAAAACAATTTTCTGAAGAAGAAAACGATTTGAATAGATGCAGACATGCTCTGTGCCCTTCTTCTGCATTCTCACACATGTCATGTAATACTTTTATAATTATCATAATATTCTTTTTCCAAAAGTTAACATACCAAGCTGCCTTGTACAGACTCAGATCACTGGTTCCTCTAGCTCAATATTGTTGAATGGCAGCAGTTACTTGGAGTTTCAGATTGCAGTCTTTCTCAGCCCTACCTACCTAGGAAACTCAAGAAATAAAGCTCAGAGCCTGGAATGAAATTTCTTAAGAGCATGATAATTTTCTAACATTCATTCTGCACCTTCTCCTTTGATTCAACTCTGCCATATTGAAAGCTGACTTCGTAGTATAACCTAATAACTTCAGCAGGTTGAAAAGCTGTTTTGTGATGCAGTGTGAAATAAGCTTAGTGCATGCACTAAAAATGAGGAGGATTGGAAATATATCCCAGCATTGGAGAGCTCAGATGCAATACTTACAGTCTGAGTAGTTTTCATAAACTAGTAGCTGTGTCTACATTGTTTGAAAGCAAAGCTGAATATGATGAGAAATAATGCTCTTGAAATTGAGTTTAGGCATGTTACAGGAATAGCTTGTCTGACGAGAATGTATTCTGACAAACTGACATGTTTTGATAGGTGTTGAGGTAATTTTACAGATTTTTTTAATTAAGTAAAAAGTGCAGGCTGAGTACTCTACAAAAGGTTAATCCCACTATCAAAGTTTAAATGTTAGTTTAAGCATTACTAAACATGACCAATCTCTTCTTTTATGCATTTTTGAAGTGTGATGCAAATTTGATTCTGAGGTCAGGCAGCTGTATTATGGAAACGTAAAGCAACTCGTTGCTTGGCAGCCCCCAAGAAACATGTCCAAATATTTATTTCTATGGATCTTTTAGAAGAAATGAACTAATAATAAACTCTCACTATATTTTTTGTTTCATATTAAAATTCCTCCTTTACTGGAAGATTCTTTAAAACATTTTTAGTGCATAAGCCCAAATAAAAAACATTTTTCATGGTATTTGACAAAGAATGAAACAATGCAGTTATCTTATCAGTGCAGTGTGCTTCCTTCCATGCTTCTGATCCTTAGGCTTCAACATCCTTTTAACATCCTTCCTTCCATGCTTCTGATCCTTAGGCTTCAGTGTCAAAATATCATCTTGAATACTTGATGATATTTATTGATTTTTTTAAGTGTTGAAAATGCGATGTTTGCTCTTCTGTTGCCTTATCACCTTTGGTTTCAATCCTTTTATAAGTTTGACATAGCATTTTTCAAATTCATTTCTGAAAATACGAAACATGGAAACTCATTTAGTTTTTGGATTTGGGTACACAAAAGATATTGTGTTACATGCTGCCCACCTATGACTTAAATTGTACTAATTGTTACGAAACATCTATGGCAAGCAAGGACATTAGTATTTTTATGATAGCTTTTTTACTTTTATTGTACACTTGGTGTCATTCATTTTACTTTCCAAATGTTAATCAAAAATGAATCATATGACTTAGAAGGAATAAAACTAATATGATTTAAGTGTACCCATTTTTAGGGACACTTTTAAAATACCACAAAGCTATTGTGTTACTGTACTAACTGGCAATAAGAATTAATGTGTAAACAAAACTAACCTAATTGAATGTGTAGGATTAACTTCTCAGTGTTTCTGCAGATAGTCATTATTATCATCTATCATGCAGCATGGAAAAGTGTGCATATAATGTGCATAAAATATTGTGCACATTATAAAATTTTAATTACAAAATTAAAATATTTAATTGGTTCCTTAAGAGTGTAACTTTTACTGCAATAAAGAGGATGTGAAATATGTCCATTTGTTTAAATGCCTAGGTCCTGTTAGAATCCTTAGTATTTATTTCCCCATCTTGTACTCTTGTATCTCTCACAGTTAATGGAAGCAGTTTCTCGAAAGGTAGCTGTGACTATATGCACACCTTTTCCAAAGACAATAATGAGGTGTTTATTGTTTAAGACATTAAATTTGTTTCTCAAGTCTTAAAAATGAAGTATTTGACTCTTCTTAATTGTATTTGCTGCCCTCTAGTGCTCCTTTATATATTTATAGTTAGAATTCAATTTTAACTAGAATTTAGTTACAATTACTATTGGGCTCTGACTATACACGGAGTATTAAAGCAAGAAATCAATGATATTTCATAGCATCTAGAATATGCAAAAATACTCAACTTTTTCTGAAATTATTTTGATTGTTGTGAACAATGGTTCTACCTCTTGAAATAATAAAATATATGTAGTTGGTAGAAATGTTTGAGCTATTCTTCATGCTGTAGACATGGTAGCCATGAAACTAGTTGATCTGTTTTACTCAAATCCATTTAAATCCATGTACACCTTGGAGCAAATTCTTTTTACCATAAATTCATTCAATCCATTGAACATTAATTATTCTAGATACGTTAAAGAACACCATTGTTTTAGAGTGTAGGAGGACAAATGATTTCAGAGTCCTGGTGCCTTACATGTGTGTATGAGCATGACTATTGATAACTATATCAAGCAAAGTGATTTTAAAATTGAATATTCATTACCTATTCCTAAATAATCCTAGTGCTGGTCCAGATTATCTTCTAACTGTTCATTTACTAAGATTTTTTTTTCCTTCAGTGCATGTATACCTTGTTGTTCTTTTAGCCTAATCTTCTAGCTTAGCCTTGCTTAGCCTGATGCCCCTCCATATGTGTTAGACTACAATTCTCACCATCCCCAGCCAGCATGAAGATGATGGGATTTATAGTATACAGTTGTTAGGCATGGGGTTGGGTGAAACTAATCTCTAGTCTAAATTCCTTGGTAAATGCCACAATTGCTTTCATGGAAAATGTAGCAAATGCTGAACTTGAGTGTGCAAAGTAGATATAATGATTAATTTCAGCAAACTTTATTAGTGAAATGATTCTTTCCTAGCCAGGCTACATAGAATGACATGGCCCCTGGTATGAATGGGCCGGTGCTCCTTCTCTTCTGCTGCTGAATTCTTGCCCACCATTTATCGCCAAAAGCCTCCTCTTCCTGCTGATAGCCTTATAGCAGCTGCATTAACACTTCTTCACTGTTAATAACACAAAAGCTAGATGATGAGTGTTGAGGAAGCTTTGCCCCTGCCCCCTTAAGAAATAATCCCCAGAACAGACTTGCCTCACCTCAACAATCCCCTCCACGAAATCTTGTGTTAGAGTCCACCACATGTAGCATGCAATAGATTGGGCTGCGTGTGCAAGTGTAGGCTCCGGCCTCAGAACTTTACCGAAGCATGATGCTGCCTTTCTGACTGAAAGGTTATGCACCTCTGAAAGCTTTGTTGCTGTTGCTAGTTGCGAAGTCGTGTCCGACCCATTGCAACCCCATGGACAACATTCCTCCAGGCCTTCTTGTCCTCCACCATCCCCTGGAGTCCACCTAAGCTCACGCCGACTGCTTCAGTGACTCCATCTAACCACCTCATTCTCTGCCGTCCCTTTCTTCTTTTACCGTCAGTTGTTCCCAGCATCAGGCTCTTCTCCAGGGAGTCCTTCCTTCTCATTAGGTGGCCAAAGAATTTGAGTTTCATCTTCAGTATCTGGTCTTTTAAAGAGCAGTCAGGGTTGATCTCCTCTAGGACTGACTGGTTTGATCGCCTTGCAGTCCAAGGGACTCACGGGAGTCTTCTCCAGCACCACAATTCAAAGGCATCAGTTCTTTGGCACTCAACCTTCCTTATGGTCCAAATTTCACAGCCATACATTGCAACTGGGATGCTATTTATAAAAGTGTTTTATAAATTTATGATTAATTTGTTGGCCCAAAAATATGCACTTAGGTCACTTGCAATCTTGAATCTTTAAAACTATTTAATAAGTAACCTTTCCCTTTTGTTCCTTTATCTTTTAAAAAGAAATTAGAATCAATCACATTCAGAATAATGCAAAAGCTGCATGGGGCAAAAAAGATGCAACAGTGTTTGGAATACTTGCAGGGATATAGAAGGCACTCCTCTTCAGATTGCCAGCCTACCCAAGTACTCAAGAAATGTGGAAGGTGTGGCTAGAATATACCTTCTCCTTGTGTGTTTACTAGGCAGCTGACTCATGTAATAATTATATCTAACATCCCAGAACATGAACTATTTTAGGACTAATTTATACATGATAGAACTGATTATTAGACTTTTATATTTTCCCCACCAGGAGGAGCACTAATCTATTGTTCATAATAGCAGAATAGTGGTATTAGGACTGACTTTGTCTTGAGGGAATGCCTCAACTTGGTCTTTTATGGTATGCATTTGTGTTTAATAAATATCTCAGAACCGTAAGATTATTTATAGAGGTGGATGTGAAGTATACCATATTAAGGATAAGCACTGGCATACTTTATAGACATTAGATATTTCCTGTTTAATATTGAATTTCCTGTTTAATATCGAATGGGGCTAGAATATCAAGCGGTTCATCAAAGTAGTATTGTAATAAGGAGATGCTGCAGTATAATGTTAGACATAAACAGCTTATATAAATGATAGTGTTGCCCATCTTCCCTTTCTCCACTTCTTCTTCCACATATGTTAGTATTTCAGGTTGAAATGTTGATAGGTCATGGATTTCTTCATGCAATTAATGTTGCTTTAGTGTAGACTGTAGGTATGGTTCCATTGTGCTTATTTGACTTTCCACTCCTTAAGAAGAGTGGATATGCATTATGTTCTTATTCATTTATATTGAGCAGAAACAAAGTAGGTACACTTCTTTTGAGTGCTCCTCACAGGTCTTCTGTTGGAAAGCAGTCTTGCAAACTTGTTATTTCCTTGATCAAATGTCCTTATTACATCACCTAGTGTATTGTCATGCTTATCAGAATATAGTGGAGAGAAATACAATTTTGCATAACTCAGTGATGCAGTTAATTGGGGGAGAGGACAGGATGATTCCAGGGCTTCCAAAGAGAAAGCATGTGACCCCTTTGTAACACCTCAGGTTGGTGCTGCTGCGGCCACCATTCCAGTTTGTTTAGAATTGACTGGGGAAATCCTAAATATATTATTAGAAGGAATGAAGCTTGATTGGGAAGTGCTGGCTCCTTCCTGAAGACTCTGCAAGATTATCCTTCCGTGAGATGTGTGTAAACACTTGCTGGACGCACCACTGGCAATGTGTTAAAGAAATTGGTAATCTTGCATGGCCTCTGTTGCATCCAGGTGTGGAATTAGGCATGGCATATATGCTGAATTTTCAGTGTGGGCCAAGAAGTTTTATATAAACTTGAAATGACTCCAATTTTTAATAAGATCAAGGTGAGAACAGTCCATTATGCTGTCTTTCTGAAGAGGTGGTTAGATCAATATGGGACTGAGGTGGTTCTGTTGTTTTTATTGCATGAGTTGTACTGGTTACCAGTGTTTTCTGATCCTAATTTAAATTGCCTTATAAATGGCTTGGGACCACATTACTTGGAGAACTGCCCTTACCAATTTCAGCCTGCCCACACTTTTGAATTTAGCAAGAGGTTTTCTATCTTACCCACCTATGAGAGAGCATATTTTCCACAGGGTGCCATACCTGTAGAACAGGTTGTCATCAAAAGTCCATCAGGTCCAAATATTGCAGGGTTTTAGGAAGTCGCTGAAAATTTCCTTGTTTACTCCATCCTTCCACAGATTATATATGCTTTTATGGTGTTCTTTTAATGTTATTTTCTTTCTTTTTAGAATATGGTTTTTATGAAATTCTGTCCATTTATTGTACTGTTGTAAAGCTGCCATGGGGGAGGGCTCTTGTCCTGAAAGGCAGCATAGAAATATTATAAATAAATAAATTCAGTATGTAAGTGAACACTGGGTAAATAAATTAAAGGAGACAAAGTTTCTGAGTACATTCTTGAAAGAAACTTGTTAAATATAATCATTTTAATTCTGCAAATGTAGAATAGAATTTGTGGTAAAAAATTTGTACTTTTGGCAAACATACAGAATACTAAGTTGATATAGGCAGCAATCCTGTGCTTGCAATCCCTTGAGCAGAAGGATTGTGTTACTTGGGGAAGGACCCTTTCTGTAAGCAATATGCTGTTTCAGTCAACAAAAAGCTCCTTCCAGTCTTCATGATAAAAGCTTAGGATTCAGTTCAAAATCTCTATACAAAATCTGGGCAAATTGAAGACATCCCCATTGATATAATTGTAATGATTTGTTCATAGACTCCCTCCCTCCCTCTCTTTCTTTCTCTTTATTTTGCTTGAATTTACAGGCTTGGGTCTAATACTGAGAAGAGGAAATGCATTAGCATTGTTCTGCCTACTCTTGCTTGAGACCTAATGGAAGACTTCCCACACTTTAGTGACACAGTGTATCAGAGTTTTCATTATAGCAGCATCCCCAAATTTGGAGCCTTCCAGATGTTTTGGATTGTACATTCTAGAATTCATGAACAGCTGAAAAGGAGCTGAAGGACTGATAGGTGCTGAAGTCCAAAATATCTGAAAGGCACAATTATGGTACAGGAAACTGCATGCAAACTCTATTTTGTAAATGAAGACTTGAGGATGAACTTGTGCAATGTTTTATATAAGCACTTGTGTGAACAGAGGAAATTCTCTGTACTTAGAATCACATATCTTGTGCAATACTCCTTTGCCTTTGCTTCTTCCCTTCTCTGAATAGATCCTTTCTACTAGTCGAAGTTTTATTTTGGATTTCTCAATTGATTATACACTGATGATAAAATGGGAATAATTGGTAGTGTTAATAAATAAAAGCTGACTTGAAATAAAGACTAAGAAGCTGAAATTTTCCTCTGAACATAGCTTACGGTTTCATTCAAAACATATTTACTCAGATGCAAGTCCCTCTTTATAAATGTTTAGTGATTAGCAGGATTAATTGCCTGTTTTAAAAGAAGCACCATTAACCATGATAAAGTAGGTTTTTACATTTGGGAAACAAGGTACTGATTTTATTGATTGTCTTGCTCTCCTAGTCAAGTATATGGTTTCTACTCCTCATACTTAAGGTGAAATACCAAGTTACTGCAGTCCTCTGCACTGTGATTCACAGCATTCTAGAAGATTCTTCAATGCTCAGAAACAAGCTTTTAGGAAGCACAGCGGGTTGGTTTGGCCAAAACTGGATGTTCTGCCTTGCACAAATGACAGCATTTTCTACTGTTGTAAAGCCATACATGCATATAACCCATTGTATGAAAATAAAATGAATCCTTATTTCTCTTTCAATAAAAACATACTTATTGGAGGAAAAGAGTAATTCTCAAAAAATGCCCATATAAAAAGTTAGAATTGTGGCATTTTGAACCAAGATTATTTTTTTACCATGGTAAAGTATTATATTTTAAACATTCTTTCATTGGGTATCATGGGATAATCAGTGTTTCCTAAGATGGTTTTCCTATTATGGAAAGCAAGACTATTTTCTTCATGATAGTTTGCAGGGCACTCAGTGGTGTTTGGGTTTTTCATTATCCATTGAAATCTGTAGGACTATTTTGTAAGCTCAGTGTTAGAATCCATTATGGAAGCATATTTGGCTGATCTTATTTGGCCCTCAGAGGAGACAGAAAATCAAAGAATTTGCTTTGCATTGAGTCACCTAAAATTAGACATTTAATTGAAAGCTTTTTTTACAATCAACAAGCAGCTCTTTTGCATTCTGATTTTTTGTGAGTTTTTTTGTGAATTGTCCTTGTAAAAGGACTTGAGGCAGAGAACAGCATGTTAGTTCTTAAATAGCTGGGATATTGTGCACATCCTCTAAATCTGACTTCAGAAAGAGAGTAGGATTTCCTAATAATGTTTTCAAATACTTCTATTCCATATGGGTTTTATGATTCATGAACTGGATTATCATCAGTTCTCTGTTTTACATTCCTGGCACATTACTGCCACTGATTGGAAATGCTTTTGTATCCTTTGCTGGAATTAACTTTGTTCCAGAGTCCCGGAGCATCTGCTCAGCAGATATTTTTCTACAAAGCATCAACAGGTTTTCTTCTTGCTCCTTTTATCATAGCTTAACAAACCTTTTAAGTACATACAAATGAGAGAGGAGTTTGCTTTGCCAGCTGTGATGGGTTTTGAAATGATAGTCAGTGCCCTTTTGATTTTGTGGACTCTGATCTCCTGAAGTTTTTAAGCATGTTGCTAGAGGAGGAGCAATAGTACTTGCTTAGCATGGGGTAGATCTCAAGTTCAATCTCATAGTTTCTAATTGAAAGGATCTTGGGTAGTAGGACTGAAAATCATTGCCTGAGCCTTTGGAGAGCTGCTACCAATATGTGTAATCAATACTAGGCTGGTGGAACCATGGTAGGACTGACTAAGACAGGTTCATATACCATGTTTCTGTGTTGAGATTTTTTTTCCATGGTATGCTCCTATTGATTTTATTTTTTTGCTAGTATTGTGTAGAAATTGTGTGTTGACATTTCCAGGAACAGGAAGAACTATGTAGGTAGAATGGATAATAAAATGTAGTATGGAAATTTTCAAGATTAAAAAACTCTTTTTTTTTTTTTTACAGAAAATAGTTTAAGCAGGTATTAGCAATTCAGGGATAGTGCTAAATTTTATAAGCCTGTCCCTAGTGTTTCTCACTGTCCTCAGCTTTCCATTCAGTTTATTGTAGATAACGTTAAACCAAACCAAACTGATCTAGAAGCAGTGGACAAGAAGTAGTGACAGCAATGTGATGAAGGTCCACATATATTAGGATGTAGGGCAGAGAAGAAGAGTGGAAATGAGGGAAAGAACCTCAAATTCTTAACCAGATGTGTCCTGAAGTTCTGTAAGTTAAATGAGGAATATTATCTTTAACTGCATGTCTCATCATGTTATAGTGTAGGTGTGATATAATGCTAAGCCAAGAAAGCTTAAAAGATACCAAATGTGGGATTGCAGGTTCTTGTGTTCTCAAGATCAGTGTGTTTTGGGAAGTAATTCCTAGTTAAATGTTTGTTTGCAGGATGAAGATGAGCTGGACTCCCACACTATGGTGAAGACAAGCTCAGAGAGTGTAGGCACAATGAGGGCCACAAGTACAATGAGTGACAGTGCTCAGACAATGATAGAACATAATAGCACCATGCTAGAATCAGACTTGGGCACAATGGTGATAAACAGCGATGATGATGATAATGAAGATGAAGATGGAACTATGAAAAGTATGTTTCACTTTCCTTTATATTTAAAGCATTTACTATTATCTCCCACCTATAGTTATCTAAATTGTTTGCAGTAAGCCCTGCTTTGGATTTCACAAAAGAACATTAGAGTTACACCTTCAAAATAAGATACATCATATAAATACTGGATGCATTCTTGTGATTTTGCAGATGAAATTAATGGGTGTATTTGAGCTTTGTTGTTAATTTTCCCTGGCAGCAGCTGTCTTTCTATGAACTATCAAAACAACCAACCAACCAAGCAGAAAAAAAAAATACATGACTACATGGATTTTTTCTGCAAGATGGTTCAGGATCTTTGGATTGCCATATTTGGAGTATTAGTTTATTTTGTTGTAGACTTTGCATATTTCATGTTGTATTATGGAAATAAGTATATGTGTTTATGAGTAAATGAGCATGTTTTTATTTAAGTTACAAAATGTAAAAATGATTATGTACACAAGAGCTTTAGAATGTTTTACATTAAGAGGATTTTATCTGTTAGATCAGACGACAACATCCTGCAAACCTGGAGCCATTTGAGATCAGTTCTGCAATGGTTAAATAAATTTCTAATCAGGAGTTATGATTGAGCAGTTTTAAATATTTTAATGATATTCATGTTATAAAATGCTGTCATTTGGGAAGAAAAGTGTTCATTGTTAATGCTTGATTGGATTCCTTCTGATAAGCTTTCTCCTCTCTCCTTTCTTCTGCTTACCTTCTGACCACTCTAAAAACCAGAACCTTCAAACATCTACTGATGTTTCCTGACTCAGTTGCCATTAACTCAAAGTGAGCTTTGCAAGTACTGAGGTGCTGCATTAAACCTGAGCTCCTTACACCACACTCCTTTTCTTCTGAATATCTGAAAGCAGTAACTTTTAAGGTTCCCAAAAGCCCTTCTGGGAGTTAAAAACTGCTGGCTTGCCTTAACTCCTGGCAATGTAAAGTGTCTGAGGCTTACTCTCCAGAAATGTAGGATGAACTTCATTTGCCAAGCTGATGGTTATCTTATAGTGTGTTGGATAAATACACATGTGACAAAATTGGTCCTGTATGATTTATTGTTGGGATGAACTGAGGCAGCTTTATAAGCCATATTAAACTCTGATAAGTTTTTGAACTACTTTGTACGCTAGGAACATCATGTTGTGACTTGTAGAACTGGAGCTGGCAATTGAGTTCATGGTTTTATTAATTTGATGGTTGTGTACAGTAGACCAATGATCTTTATTATCTTTCAGCTGAAGGTAAACAGTTCTGTTGATGAGTGATGACTCTGAGTAAAACGAGTCTATCCATAAAACACTTAATGCACGTTTTAATTTGTGTTTGATGCTCATATAGGTATTTTCTTTATAAATTTTGTGGATAATGGGGAGATTTATTACCAAAATCTTGAACTGTTCAAACTTAACATGTGATGGAAGGGTATTAAGCATTGTGAAGGTAGTGTTATAGAAAGCAAATGTGAGTGTACAAAGAACAATGGATAATTTATTCTGAATGGAGATTTATTAACATGGGAGCATATACAGTTTTCCAATCCACAGCTCTTTAAGAAAAGACTATTGAAGTGTAGGCATGCTGTGAATTGCAGAAAGACTATCCTTTCATTTATGCATGTCCACTTTCCTGTGTGCATTCCAGTCTCTGCTGAAGACACAGAACTCTGTGGACTTGTAGAATACCATAGTTCATGGATGTGGAACTGGTGGGCATAGAGTGAACTTAGTTGGGAATCTGAAAAACCTGCTGGATCAGATCAAAAACCTAGCTAATCCAGCATGATGTTCTTAGAGTGCCTAAATAGGTGCAGACAAGAAAGTAACAAGCAGGACATGAGTGAATAGCACCATCCTGCTTATGTTCCCAAGCCACTGTTATTCAGATGTATACTGCCTCTAATACAAGTCCCACATCTTCTACTGTTTAGTTTCATTGGATGACCCTAAGTTTTAGTGTTATGAGAGACAGAGAAAAACTTACCCATATAAAGCTCCTCAACACCACACCTAATTTTAGGTACATCTGTCCCTTCTTTGTGTAATTCTTTCTAAACTAAAGAATATCAAGCCTTAACTCATAGTGGAGTTGCTCCAGCCACCTGATCCATCTTGATTGCATTTTTTATACCTCTCCAGCCCCAATACCTTTTTGAGGTGTAGCACCCAGAGCTGTCCACGGTATTCCAAATATAGCTACACTGTATATTCTTATGTGGGCTTTGTGCATCACACACATTGGCTCTGTGACTGTGTAGAACCCTGACTTGGGCAGCTTCTATAGGTGACGGATTTTGGCAGGAACATTCCTCCAGTCACAGTATGCATGTCCTTAGCGGGTTCACCTATTCCCTCAGTTCCTCTTTGACTGCTGTTGTGGTAAATTTATGAGGAGCGCTTTGTGGAGAAAGCCTCACTATGTCAACTGACGTGGCAGTTCTTATTTATAGGGTTGATTACTATTTTGGCTATATTTGTTAAGTTTGCTGGCAGTCTTAGATCACTTGATTTTCTCTAGTGGCCTATGGATTTATAGCATACTTCCACCTGCAGATGGCCACTCTCTTTGTGTTTGGGAGAAGGTCATCTTGTCGTCATACTGCCAGGCTTTTACCAAACAGATCAGGCAGAATAGGTCAGACAGATTGAAGGCTGTTCTGTGGATTTAGTGCAAGGTAGGACCTCACTTATTATAAAGTGTGGACTGAATTGTTTCTACAGTTATCACATGTGTTTCTCCTCCATGTTGATCATTGTGGATTTGTTGTACCATCATGTTGCCTTATCAGCTACTTTGACTCAACTTGACACTTCAGTCAGAGTTCACTCAATGCAAATAATGACTACACTGACCACATTTGTCTGGCAGTTATTGCTGTTGGAGATGTGCCAAGTAGGTACCTGGTGGAAACCATATACTTTTATCCAATATTATTGCTTGGAAGCCAGGGCTAGCACCCACCCACCCATATTCCTCAGATACAGATGTACATAGTTGCAGTGCTTCTGGTAATGGAGAGTATCAGAGAAAGCTGAGCATGGCCATCAAGACAGTCCCTGAAAGCCTTATCTTCCGTGAACTTGTCTAATCCCTTTTTAAAGTCATCCTAATTGGTGGCCATCATTGCATCTTGTGGAAGTGACTTCCGTAGTTTAAATATGTACTGTGGGAATAATTGCTTCCCTATATCATTCCTGTATCACCTGCCTCCCACCAGTCAGCTTCATGGGATGGCCCTGGTTCTAGTTTTATGAGAGAGGGAGAAAAATGCCTCCATTTTCACACCATGCATAATTTTGTACACTACTTCATGTCTCCCATTGCTCACTATATTCCTAAGCTAAGCAGTTCTGGATATTTAATCTTTCTTCATTATAACATTTTCTTCTTTGTATGCTTCCCTTATTTCAGTCTCAAGGACACTCTCAGCCTTCCTCAACCTTGTGCCTTCCAGAACTGTTTGGACTGCAACACCCAGAATTCCCTCTCAATGGTCCTGATGGCCACCTCTGAAGGCCACCAGGTTGGGGAAGTCTGACACTTAGGACAAGGAGATATAATTGTAATCTATTTATATCTGATGTACTTTCCCTAAGAATGGGGCAACAATAATGGGATAGGTTTCACTCCTGGTCAAAGAATGTAGACTGATGGATAGGTACTTCTTTAGTTACATGGGTTCCAAGTCCTTTAGGGCTTTGTAGATCAATATCAGGACCTTGAATTCCTGATATTGAGAGAAAAAAAATCAAATGTATAGATTGTTGGATGGCACACCCTAAAACAGTGTTATAGAAAACCACACAGTTGCAAAAATAAAAGTATTTAATCAATGGGGTGCTCTCATTTGATTGTGTATGTATGTTCCCCCTCATTTTTCTGTTTTTCTGTTCAAGGACCAAATGAGTAGCAATAATTTTTTTAAATTATGTTTGCCCATACATGGAGACCCTTGGGCATGGGGACGGAAACAAAACATACTTTTTTCCCCATAACATTCAGATTTGTGCCCAAATAAAGCAGGGATTTCATTGACTATGCTAAAGCCTTTGATTATGTGGATCACAACAAATAGTGGCAAGTTCTTAAAGAGATGGGAGTACCAGACCATCTTATTTGTCTCTTGAGAAACCTATATGTGGGTCAAGAAGCAACAGTGAAAACTGGACACGGAACCACTGATTGGTTCAAAATTGTGAAAAGAGTTCGGCAAGGCTGTATACTGTCGCCCTGCCTATTTAACTTGTACACAGAGCACATCATGAGAAAGGCAGGGCTAGATGAATCACCAGTTGGAATTAAGATTTCCAGGAGAAATATCAACAACCTCAGATATGCAGATGATACCACTCTAATGGCAGAAAGTGGAACTAAAGAACCTCTTTATGCGGGTGAAGGAGGAGAGCGCAAAAGTTGGTTTGAAACACAACATTAAGAAAACTAAGATCATGGCATCCGATCCTCTCACTTCCTGGCAAATAGATGGGGAAGAAATTGAGGTAGTGACAGGTTTTATTTTCCTGAGCTCCAAGATCACCGCAGACGGGGACTGCAGCCAAGAAATTAAAAGACGCTTGCTCCTGGGGAGGAAATCTATGGCAAATCTAGACAGCCTGCTAAAAAGCAGAGACATCACCCTGCCAACAAAAGTGCGTATAGTCAAGGCTATGGTTTTCCCAGTTGCAATGTATGGCTGTGAAAGCTGGACGATAAGGAAGGCTGAGCGCCAAAGGATTGAGGCCTTTGAATTGTGGTGTTGGAGGAGACGCCTGCGAGTTCCTTGGACTGCAAGGCGATCAAACTGGTCAGTCCTAGAGATCAACCCTGACTGCTCTTTATAAGGCCAGATCCTGAAGATGAAACTCAAATACTTTGGCCACCTAATGAGAAGGAAGGACTCCCTGGAGAAGAGCCTAATGCTAGGAACAATAGATGGCAAAAGAAGAAGGGGAAGACAGAGAATGAGGTGGCTAGATGGAGTCACTGAAGCAGTTGGTGTGAGCTTAAGTGGACTCTGGAGGATGGTGGAGGACAGGAAGTCCTGGAGAAATGTTGTCCATGGGGTTGCGATGGGTCGGACACGACTTCACGACTAACAACAACAACAAAAGCAGGGATTTGGAACAAAAAAGAAGACCTGTCATTCTACTCTGAAATTTAATACCCAGCTTAGTAATAATAGCCAGAAATTGTATTTTTTGACCTTACAGAGTGTAGACTTATGTGGATAAGCAATGAAGCCAAGGTATCAAATGTTGGAGAAAAAGGGATATACTATCAGTAGGGGAAGATAAAACATGGAAGATGGAATAATTTGAATTGGAAACGTCTATGATGACTACACAGTTTGACCTAACTGCTCTTGCTTTTCCACAATTATTTTTAGCCATCTCCTTTACCAGAGGTAGCATGCCTGACCAGTTGCTGACGTACTGGGGAAGGGGGTGGTCTTGTACCCATCCCACTTAAGGGATCATGTGTACAGCTACTTTTGCTACCCTGTGAACGAAGTGCTGGACTGGCTGGATGGTTGGTCTTATTCGGCATAACTTTTCTTACATTTTTATGTGCTTATGATAAGTAACCAATAGCATTGCATCTTGGCAGTAGGCACTCTTAAAATGTTTCTTGTTGCAAATATCATAATGTTAGGGTTTTAAGTGTCAGTATCCTTACTCAAAAAGCCTTTCTTCCAAGCAAAAAATAAAGTAATAACATCCCAATTCTGCAAATGATTGTGAAACTCAGCAAGTTAGATTATCCATTGCAGTGGAACTTCTATATTTTCTGAGCTTCTAATTAAATAATGTCAGTGCACTTCTCTTGGGTATTATTGCAGTGATATAAATGAATGCAAAAAAGTTAGTGAGGCATGACTTTCCCTTCCGGTAGCAATATTCTTAGCAAATCTCTGTTCTGGAAGACAGTTTAAATAGTTTGTAAGATTATCCAGTAACATATGTCAGAGCAATTCATTTGCAATTTCTTCATAAGCTTATGATTGCACTTCCTCTATAAAAGAAAGCCCCCCATACAATAACTTTTTGAATTTTAGGACTTTCTTGTATTGTCCGAAACATAGCTTTAAGATTTTTGATTTGGTTCATCAATGTTTTGACAAGTTATTCCTCTCTGAGCTCTTTCATAATTGTTGGCTGAAAACTTAAACCTAAAAAAAAAAATCAAATATACTTATTCATTAATGCTTAATTGGAATTATTTAACATTGCCATCAGCATCTATATACTTTTACTGTTTTCTTTTAATTATCCCACAGTATGGATTGTTATTAAGTGTTCCAGTAACCACAGGTCGATAAAACAATTGGGTGGCCTCAGTAGTGAAAAACTATGGATTGTATAAAATACTACAGCTCCACTTTAAAAATTGATGCATCTTTGCAAACTTTCAGAGGGCTGTTTTCCCCATTCTCTTCCCTGTTCCACTTTTTGCTTTTAGGCCACTTGTAAGTAGTATTCCAGCAAAGCAAGAAGTTCTTACATATTATTACCATTCCCAGACTAGCAGCTCAGCGGTGCTTATAGTGTTCTTAAATATATTTTCTGATAACATGCTTAATTATATAAATGTGTAATATTGATCTGCATTGACCTGGCGTTGAAAAGCAGTATACAGAGACCCAAGGGCAGCCTGGCATGGCAACCATCAAACCCATGGGGGAGGAAACGACTAGAACACAGCCCAGACATTAACTGTCTGGGCTCCATTCCCTTTACCTGGCCAGTCCTCTTAACAATGCCTGCCTGATTGATTGATTGATTATCAAAGCCAGCCATCATGCTCTTTGGGCAGCTACATCTCCTTCTACGCATCACTAATGTATCCTGAGTTAATGACAACTAGCTGTAAGCCATTTTTTTGTATGCTCTCATAGCTCAGAAAGATATTTCAGTACATTTCTGTCATTGTCATCCCGTTTTTCTCCTTTGTTTTATTATCACGTAATTGTGCTTGCCTATTTTCTATGAAACAAACATAAACTCTTATTTATAAAAGTTGTTAATGATACACTTGGACAGCTCACTTTTCCTTTAACACACTGATGTTTTCTTTTGAATTTTAAACATCTTTTAATATTCATACTAGGAAATGCTACATCACCACAAGCTCAACGGCCTTCCTTTATGGACTACTTTGATAAACAAGATTCCAAGAATAAAGGCCATGAAAACTGCAATCAAAATATACATGAATCTTACCACATATCAAAGAATATTTTTCCTGATAACTGGAAGGTGCCCCAAGATGGTGACTTTGATTTTGTAAGTACTTCCATATAGTTTCTTTTTGTAATGTCTTTGCATAGTCTTTCTGTAATTTTTGTATAGCATTTCTAAATGGGACTAACATAAAAGCACAAAGTGCACAGGGTTCCTGAGAGCACATCCATCTCCTAAGAACATGACATTATCTCAGCTAGTAGTATATTGATGCAGTTTTTCTGGAAATAGCATTTCTGCTGCTTATTGTGAAATCCAGTTATATTATTACTGCAGTCCGGTGATCCCTTTCCACATTCCCTTCTCTGCTACTGAGGACTCATTTGAGTACTGTGTGTAGGTCATAAATTAATATAAACATATTGTAGCAGCATGTAGGCATGCATGAAGTAGAGCATTACTCAATGTAACCAGAGGCTCATGGCATCTAAATAGAACTCTCTTGGTTTCTATTTGGTGTCTTATCTGTGAGCATGTCTCTTTGTTGTATAGATGTGAATTTGATGTCTTTCGGCCCTGCCCCAGTTTTCTTAAAAGTGAGTCATATTCAGATAGTCTTTGCTATGTGTCTCTGTTGTTGGGATCTTTGTTGCTAGATCAAGCCTTCTGCATTGACAGAGCAACTTTTCCTATATAACTGTAAGCCTTCCCAGTATAGATTTCTAGGAAACCGTCTATGAACTGTGATGAGCTATTGGAAATTGTTGTATCCTGTTTTGTCTCTCGCACTGATTTTATTTATTTATTTATTTATTTATTTATTAAAAGCTTTTCTATCCTGTCCCCTACAGAACTTCTCAGCATGGCTTACAGTTAATGCCCTTGAATTCAGTAGAGGTTTCAGGGAATAGAAAGTGGTGGAGGGAATGAGTTCCCCTTTGTTGTACAGTGCCATTTGTACTACAGGGTTAAGGGTGCTTTTGGAACAGTGTGAAGGTAGATGCAGGACTTGAGAAGAAAGAAGGAATCTGGCAAAAGCATTTCTTCTCTACCTCTCAGAAGTCTCCACTGGGCCAAACACCATCGTTGGTAGGGGGATACAATTCAATACAGATGTTGGGTGATCCCAACATCTCAGATATTTCCTAATTTAAAGTAAATATCAAATCAGATCTCTGATATATTTCCATCAGGTCTTCTTTTCCCTTCCCTATCATTAGTCTATTTCTTTCATTTTTTTCTATCATTGTAGTAAGTGAGGCATCTGATTCTTTGTTATGAGCAGTTACAATTTGTGAACATCTTGTGATGTCACAACTGTAATAACTTGGAAGAAATATGGGCTGGCAGATAGAAATTAGTTAGTTTTTGGTTAATTTTGGAGATTAATAATTTGTAGGTTAAGTGTAATAAGTTTTATGAGAACACTGAATTAAATCAATGTATGAAGTATAGAAGTTGTTAATTAGTTTTATTACTGCATGCTGTTTTCTTCTTTGAAGCATAAGATTGTAACCCTTCTACTTTACGGTATAGTCTAAAGAAAATTTTATATGTTTTCTCCAGAAGTATTTGAAACCAGGTTTTTTTCTCTGATTAAAATGATTTGAAAAAATGTTATACATACCATTGGCTTGAGATCTGTCACTTGCTGAAGAATAAATCAGTTTTGGAGCATGCATTTCATACTTCTGTAAAGCAGTCATTAATTTTTTAGATTGCTGATGTACAGTCTCTAAATAATTCACAAAATTGTGAATAATGAATAACTTTCAGTGGTGAAGAACTATAGTCTCTCTCTCTCTTTTTGGAATGTCATTTAATGGGGCCCAGTTAAAGATGTTAGTGAATGCAACAAAAATGACTATTTCTTATAGAATACCCTAGCAGTTTGAATTTCAAATTGTAATAATGATTCATTCTGCTTCCAAGATAATGTAAGGTGTTATCTGCAAGATACAGGTTTGATTTATGTCAGATAGCAGACTAAAACAGAAGTTGAAATACAAAGCAATAGGTTGAATTTCAGGTAATTCCCCCATAATCAACCAAGTGCAGATATGAGAACTGATTAAAAGAAAGTATTGTTTTATGAGGACGATGCATAGACTTAAAGAAAACAAAAATGAAGGCATCTGAATGCTCTTTTGCCTACCCGTTAAGACTTCAGTTGGCTGCAAGTGGTATTTTCCCGTCTGCTTATTGCTATGGAATAATAAAGGAATTCCAAATAACATATTTTGTAGAAACTGCTGCAAAAGAGCAATTGTCAGTATGATAGTCCAGGGTATCGGCATTACAAGTGAGAAATAGATTGCCAATACGTTTTGAATTTAATCTTTTTACTATTACTTTGGGGTAGTTTGCATTAACAAGTCTTGAATGAAGTAGTCACAGATAATACTCTGATTGCTGCTACAGAGTATGCCTTGCCAGATCAGACCAAAAGTCCATCTAATTTAGCTTCCTGTTTTTCCATAGTGCCAGCCAGATTTCTCTGGGAACCTTGTAAGCAGGGTATAAAAGCAATCATCATCTTCTGATTTTGCTCCCAAATAAATTATATTTACCAAACCTGATATTCACCTATCATGATGAGTAGCTATTGACAGAATTCTCCTCAACACATTTGTCTAATCCTGTTTAAAACTATCTGAGTTAGTGACTTAAACATAGTTCAGAACATCTTGTGCAAGCTGGTACCATAAATTATATGTTGTGTTAAGAAATACTTCATATTGTTTGTCCTGAATCTTCTATTATTTGGTGAGGCTAGGATCTTGTAATATGAGGGAGGGATAATAAATCTTTCTCCCCACACCATCTAGAATTTGATAGACTTTGATCACAGGTTTCACCAACCTTTCTGGGTCTATAGGCACATTTGGGAATTTGAGAAAGTTCTTTGGGTACCACCAGAGAATGTTTCCCATGGATAGTAATAGTTGCTATGGGAAAAGAAGTGGTTACAGGCAAAATAAAAAGGCTTGATGCTGGAAGCGAGTGAAAAATAGGCAAAGATGTAGAGGAGTGATCAAGTGAGGCTAGTGCCCAGGAGAGAAGAAAAACAGAAAGCAAAGAAGTGAAGGGTAGAATTAGTGAGGTAAGGGAAAGCAAGGGGTGGGTGGGGGGGGGGAGTCTAGGAAGACAGAAAAAGATTGAAGATGTTTGTTCTATCATTCTCTCTTGCATTTTTATATAGTAAAAAGCCCAAAGGAGTTAACCTTTCTCTTAAAGAAGAGGTTACACCCCTCTAATAACTTTGCTTGGCATTTTCTGAACCTTTTCCAGTTTTACGTTATCCTTTTTTGAGAATGGTGTGATCATATGGTATTACAAGTTTCAGCATGCCATAGGTTTGTATAAAGGGATATTTTTGAAAAAGCCCCTTTTGCTCTTAAAAAGGGCTTACCAGTGAACAGCTTCACCTGTTGGTTTGGAAAGGCAGCCACCCATTCAGGAAAGTTGAAGATAATGTTGCCTATAGAGTGGGATTACACACATCAGTTCCTACAATTGACTTGCAATTTAGTATAACTATTGTGTTTCCTTTTCCTTTCATTGATTTTGAGTTTTCATATATTATTCAAAAGTCTCAATGTATTCTGAGGAGCAGCTTTAATACGATTATTATTTTGTATTTTTGCTTTAGCAGTTGGATCTGACTGTATATTTTCAAAGAGAGATAATTTTTCCTGATGGGTAATAACACAAGTATTTGTACAGGGAATTGGTTTAATTTATAAAGTTAACTGTTAACGCTCATCAATGTTATTTGAATCATGTAGCTAAACAACATTTATTGTTTAAATGAAGTGATTGGTTTTTCTGAGTAGAAAACTAAGAAAAATAGAAAAGGCAAATGTATTTTACTCTGATGTCAATGGAAAGATTTGTTCCTTAGTGAACTTACTTTCAAATAGGTCTGGTATCCAGATTGTTTAGCATTAAACATAGAACATGTAACTTATGTGTTGCCATTACACTGCTAACATTTTTGGTGCCTTGAACATTTTCTTTAAAGCCATCTGTTAGTATCAGCATAATTCTTGAATAATTTTCTTGAACTACAGACAAATTACAACTTAACAAATGATGACTCTGCAGATAGCAAGTGTTTAATTGGGATTAGAAATTGTAAATCTGACCACCAGTTTGGGTTACTTGAACTATCCACTGTTTTCTGTTACATCTAAACTCTGGAAAACTTCTGATTAGTTAAAAAGCATAAGCTAAAGCATCTATCTGATCTTGGTTGCATCAGAAGAAAAAAGAAAAGTGCAGGACATTTTTGTTAAGTGTGGTTTGTTGCTGTAGCCAGATGAGCAAACAAACCATGGCTTGTTTTCTTTGTTTCTGATTTGTTTTTCCTCACATCCATTTTGGTTTATGTTTAGGCAGTCTTGCTGGGCTCTTCTTTTTTAGGGTGGACAATAGTGGTTCTTGGTTCAGACTTAATGACATGGCATGGCATGGTTTAAACAAATTAGACTTTATAATCCAACATCAAACTATGGTTTCCATTTGAAATTTTTAGCTGTTAATGAACTATGGTTTGTTTCTGCGGATGGGTTCTAATGCAGTGGCCATGTTTACGTGTAACACTTAATCCATAGTTTATTTAATGCATAGTTTGTTACTCTATTATGAAATGGAGACAAGCTTTGTTTTATGCAGTTTAATGTAAAATTGATTTAAAGGTAGACAATTTGTTTCCCTCCATCCCTGGGTTGTGTCTGCTCTTGCTAGTGCCTTTTCTATATCCCAGATGTTTTTGTTATCTATTGTTCCAGTAGCAGCATGTTCTACATTGGATATAGTAATGGTTACCAATGCTCTAAAGAACACATATTACAAGGTATGGTACCTTGCTACTCTGTTTAATGGAAAATTAAAAGACTATTTTGCTTTAAGCACTTTATATTCTTCGAAAACATCTGTCTTTTCTTTGTGATGACCCCAGTGGCAGATCTCATGGCTGTATTTTTAAACAAGTAAAATATATTTATTAAAAACTATAACCATTTTTAAAAAAAAGATTTTTGACAAGTGACTAAACAAGCGCAAAGTAACTTTTAGTGAAGCATGGGGTTTTTAACAGC